TCACTAAGTCACAGAGCTAGTAATGGTAAGAATTTCAAGCTTATATCTGGAATCAGAGCCCGTGTTCCAAACTCTACCCAGAAAAAAAGGCACTGCCTCTCACGGACTCAGGACTGAGTCTGGGTGCTGAATGGAGAGGCTGCTAAATGCACATGCTCTGTTGACTGCCTCTCACAGATGAACTCAGAGAAATTCTGACTGCCTGAGGAGGCCAGGATTTGCACCTCATGCTTACTCCTGAACTTCTCAAACCAAAAGTGAGGGATGCTAATTAGTTTCTTGTTCTCTGCCTAGAGAAGTTTGTCAGCACTGAGGGCAAAGCTGGACTGGGAAAGTCCCACTCTACTAATGAACGTCTAGGATGGATTTAAGGCATACAAATGGAAGGGAAAACTTGGAGAAGACCAAGAAGTATAACAGATCAGTAAGAGAGGAAAGGAAGACCACGAGACTCATGGAATATGAAGGCATGCTATCAGTCCAGCAAGCCTCTGGGACCTCAATGGCATCTCCGACTCACACTCATCAGGATGGTACTACAATCCTAACATCAACTAGTGTTGTTCCCACCCCCCAGACTATAACCTGCCCCAGACTAAAAACCACACCCCAGCAAGCCATCATTCTTATGAGGATGGCCCATCAAATCCCCACCCATTTTAAAGAGAAAGCAGAGGCCCAATAGTATTTAGAAAGCTGGTCCTACAATGTGAGTCCGCCTGACTCCGAGGCCAGAAGGCGTCCTCCTCAAACGCACAGCTAAGATCCAGTTTCGCTTCGGAGCCCTGAGGTTCAGGGACTCAGATCAGACAGGAAAGGCACGCACCTGAGGACAGCACGTGGGAGGGGATCTGCACATGTGGGCTGAGGCCCAGAAAGTTACACCGGTAGGCCTCCTCATACTGGTTGCTGTAAGGGATAATGCGGACACAGCCCACTGGCAGCATGGTCTAGACAGGAGAGAGAGACTCAGGACCAACACCAGCTGGAACATCCCCAACCCCTGCCTGTCTTCACCATACCCATGGGCTCTCTGTAGCTCAATCTAAAGCCTCTCTCCTCCCAGAAGGTGTCCCTGGTCACTCAACCCCACTGGGTGTCTCCTGGCCATTGGTCATGTGCGACTCATGCTGCCTCTTGCTTTATAGTGTTCTTACATGATTATTTTCTCAGAAATTTGTCTCTTCCCTCATCCCCGACAGAGATTATAAGTTTTGAGAGACTGTGTCATATTCATTTTGTGCCTTCACAGACCTGGGCAGACAGCAAAGCGCACACGTATTTTCTGATTACCTAAATACATCAGAGCAAAACTTGGGCCTTCGCATCTACTACACCTCCGGGATGGAGACGGCATGCGACCTCTGCATCCCACCTGACTTATCGAGACTGCTCGTGCAGAAGGATGGTGACACAGGCCTGCTTCTACAGCAGCTGTGAACCACTCTGATGGCTTCTGATTAGGGGATTGAGAAGAAGATAGGTGATTTGTTATCAATCTATCAGGATAGCACAGACTCCTTCCACTGGAAATAAAACTCATCAATGACTACCATTTTTAATAGTGGAGAAATAACACAGATCTTAGATTGAGGCAGGAACTTGGACACTGATGAACTTGGGCTATCAATGCATCCTAACATTCACACCTAAATTCAAGATTTTTTAAAAATCCACTAGGCAAATACTGTCCTGTTACAAAACACAATAAAAAAATACACTTACCCGAAGAATTTCAAAAGCTGACTGGACAAGGTCCGCGTCTCTACTTTTCCAGATCACCTGGTTCCCCATGAGAACATGCCAGGCCAACATGCGAAAAGATGGGGCACCCAGGACCTGAAAAAGAGTTCGGTGCTTTCTGCCTTGAATTTTCTTTCTGTCCAATTGACATTATTTGTGTGTCTGTCTAGAAACTTTCTTGGTATAGTGAAGGAAGATGGGTCAGGAGAAAGAAAATCACTTATCTTCTCAGGATAGCTGAGTAACTTGTTCAAGGTCAGAAAGAGGCAGGTAGAAGTCACCAGATTTGCACCTAAAAGCCTGATCCCAAAACTCTTGGCATATTTTATAAAATCTCTTTCCCAATTTTATTTTCAAAACCTTGAAGGAGAAAAAAGATGACTGGACAAGGTCCATGTCTCTACTTAGCTTTTTGCAACATTTACCTTCTCTCTATATACACTTTATTTTGTTGAACCATTTGAAAGTTAAGTGGTAGGCATCATGACACTTCAGCACCCAGGAACAACAAGGGCTTCTCTTACACAAACCCAATACACACCACACCCAGAAATGCCACACTGATGTAATAAACTCACTGTCCAGAGCTCTAAATCTCTAACAGTGTCCTTTCTAGCTACTATTCTCTCAATCTAAGAGTCATTAAAGGATCATGATTGCTTTATTTGTCCTCTCTTTATTCTGCTTTAACTTAGATCAACTCCTCTCCCCACTCTATTTTTTTTTTTTTGAGAGGGGGGTAAAAACAAATTTTATTCTAGAAATTCAAGAAAGAAAAAAGAAGACTGTCGGGTTTTAGTTGCCTGAACTCACTATGGGCCAAAAGAGTGTAGTGTGACTTCTTAGAATATCTAATCTAGATCCCATTAATGAAAGCAGGGCATCCGGAATAAACAAGGTGTTAACTCTAGGTGAGTGGGGCTGTGTCTGCCTGAGTCACCACTGGATCCCAGACACCTATTCAGGGCTGACAAGGGAGGCTCACAGGGAAATGCTTATTCCCAGGCTCAGCTCTGGGTCCATCCCACCTTCTATTAACTTCCATGATGTTCCATTTTGAAAGAGTTCTGTCGGTTGTCTCATGGTTTATAAACATGGCAAAATAAATAAATAAATAAAGGCTATAAAACTACCTTTTACTAAACCCAATAGCCTCAAAGTACTCCCACCTCCAGTGGAATCCTTCAAACTTTAATCCACATAAATAATCAACAAGGGCAATTTCAACCAAATACATGATTTCAATGGATAACTGTTTTTCATCCAGAAATCCTATAGAGCAACTGCCATTAAATTGGGCTTTACTCCATTTTCCAAAACAGAAATAATTATCTTCTGATAAAATTCATGGTTACTATTAAAATACAGGAAAATGTTATAAAAAGGGACAACCTGCCCTCATAATCTAGTGTCCCTCTCACCTGACCAAATAAAACCATGGTTAATATTGTTACCTGTGAGACATCTGTTTTGTCCTTAAAATACACATATACAGTCATGTGCCACATAATGATTTTTTGGTCAACAACAGACTATATACACCACAGTGGTGGTCCTGTAAAATTATAATAGAGCTGAAAAATTCTTATCACTTAGTGACTTCACAGCCATTGTATCATAGTAACACAACACATTACTCATGTTTGTGGTGTTTGTGGTGATGCTGGTATAAACAAACCTACTGGGCTGCCAGTTATATAAAAGTATAGCACATACAATTACAGTAGTAGGTAACACCATCTAGGTTTGTTAAGTGCACTCCAGAACGTTCACGTGATGAAATCATCTAATATCACATTTCTCAGAACATATCCCATCGTTAAGCAGTGCATGCACCACCCTATACAACATATTACATGCTTGCTTTCTTGTGCTTAATGTTATTCCATTGTTTGGATGCAATTCTTATGGTTGGATAATTCAGACTGTTTCCGATTTTTTGTAAGAAGAGCCATTATTTTCAATATGCAAAGTATCTAGGCTGCATGCAAAAAAAAAGTGCTTATCAGTTCTTTTAGAAGTTTCTATAATGACAAGATTAGCAAACAATGAAAAAAGCCAACCATCCAGGCCTTTCTTTAAAGAAATCACCTATATCATCACTAAAAGGGGAGCACTGATCCTGTGGCTAAGATACCTCAGATGCCCAGTGCCATCTTCAGCCACTCACCAAGAAGGTTCGGTTACTTCTAAACATCCAGTCCCTGTTGGGTCTCGAACAGGATGGGCCCAAAGAACAAAGTATGTTAGATGGAGATGAGCTAGAAGGAGAGGACTGGGCTCTTCTCCTGAGCTTCTGATTATAGCTCTATCCCTCCGCTGCCTACCTGCCTCATGTGCCGAAGGGACTTAAAGACAGACAACTTTCGCGGCTGCCAGTTTCCACAGTCTAAGTGCAAGGAAAAATCTGTTGGGCATTTGGTCAGCTCCCGCCCTTCTGCACCCTCTGGCAAGACAGGGGCTTTTTCCTCCTCTTCAGCCTCAGAGTTGTCCCAGCTTTCTGATTCCTCTTCTAAGTCTGCAAGACAGATGACCAAGAGAGTTAGGAAACATACTGCCCTCGGATTCCTTCATTCCCTTGATGCAATAGCCTCCTTACGTGACCACTTCAGCCCAAGGCATCTCATGTTGACCAGAGAAAGTTACTGATTTTTAGTTTTGGCCAGCTGTCTATACTACGTGTTGCCCTAGGAGCCTTGTGGTGGGCCAGGAGAATTCAGTCTGCTGTATACTTAGCCCAGAGCCTCGTTCTACATTGTAAAGCACACATCTGCAAGACTGTGAACTGTTCACTGCAGTGGAAAAATTCAAACAAATGGTAAGAATGACAAGAGCTCATATTTACTGAGCATATCCTCAATCAGGCTTCCACACATTATTTCATTTAATCCTTTCAATTGTCCTGAGATCATTACTATTCTCCCCATTTTAAAGACAAAGAAATATTTGTTATTTTAATTAATCTTCATGACAATCCTCACAAATGGTGAGACCCATAAGGAAGAGGCTGTACCCATGCACGCAGAACACACAGGCAGTATCTGAAGCCAGGTACGTCCAGTCCCAAAGTGTGTGCTCCAAACCCCTATGTTCATCTTCTTTTGTTACCAGAATATAATCGAAGACATGACAGCAAGCCTGCATGCCTACATTCTCTCTCTCCAAAAAATTTATCTCCTGATACACTTGGTTCTCTGTATAAATAAACCTCACCAACAGACCACTTTTGCTATCTTCACTAACCTAGAAATTTGTAATCAATACAATAACAAACAGTTATAGGGTCAACTGATCCATGAGGACATAGATTCTAAAAATTACAACTTATTTAGAAGGTCAATCATTTGCAAATTGAAGTACATCGAGCATTATTAGTAACGAACTACACACAGCACACACCATAAGTCTATCTTACTCAAACCTGCAGTTGAGACTATGGACCTAGATCATCAAAAATGGAATCATCTCTGAAGGAAAAGCACAGCCCGGATCACGGTCAGAAGTTCCTGGGCTGGTATTTGCAGCACTAGAACTCCCTGGGAAGTTATTCAAAACACAGAGGTCTCTGAACCCCAGACATGAAGATCTGATCATGAACCTGGGGAGGGTTCCAGATATTAGTGAGGTTTGAGAACCACTGCCCTTGATGGGAAGCTTAGGTCCAATTGAAGTATAACATTTTATTGTTAAAGAACAAAGAATAAGAGACTTTCTAGAAAACCTCCAATCAATCGATCCTCTCTAGACTGATAGCCTTCACAGTGGGTTTTTCTAACCAGACTCTTTCATGTGACTATCAAGGAAACTGAGACAGAAAATCACGATAAAAACACCAAGATTAAAGGGGTTATTCATCCCCTTTGTCAGCTCTTTCTGCCAGCATGGTGGAGGGGCCAGGTGGCTATGACGGTCCCCAGTAGCCACTGCAGGCAAAGGCTTCCAGCACAAGCACCTCCCAGCTCACCCGCAAGCTTTTCCATCTGAACCAAGGTGTCCTCAGTGGGCGCACCCTCCAGGAGCTTCTCAGTCAGCCGGCTACCACACGCTTTCAGGAGCCTGGAGAACAAAGTCATAATGTGTTCTTGCCAAAAGAAAAACTAAATCTGAAGCCAATCAAGCCTCTTGGTCTAACTACCAATTTATAGAAAATACAGAAAATAGCGTAAAAAAATGTGTTGAGCAAAATCATGACGATACGATCAACCAAACCTAAAAGGGGAATTCTACAAAACAAATGATCCAGGTCCTCCAACAAGAGACATGGGAAAACCCAGAGGGGGTGCAGGACTAACTGCTCTAGACTGAGAAATTTAGCACAGTCTGTGTATTGTGCTCTGAACCCAATACAAAAGTCAATTCTGAGACAAAATAGGAAAAGTGAACATGGATTGGGCTGGATAATATTAAGGAATAAATCCATTTTGTTGGTTATGATAATGGTTTCATGGCTGAAATGATACAAGTAATATTTGCTTTAAAAAATTCTAGAAAAAAAGTGACGAGACATATGAAAAAGCAGTAAAATGTTGGTAACTGCTAAAGCTGGATGATAGGGTACATAGTTCCTTGTACTATTTATTCTACTTTGGGCTGTAAAAAGTTTTCTAATAAAAGTGATTTTTAAAAGAGGAATGTATGTTGGATGGGGAGACAAATAATTTCTCTTTAGTTCGCAGGTTGTCGGGACTGTACTCAAGGATCTCCATCTAAGGAGACTCACCCACACCAGGACCTTACACAGACGAGACCCTACGTTTCAAGCTGACACTGCATAGGAATGAGAATTTGGAGGAGTCTTTGGAAGGAGTTATATCTTGCAATGGGAGAACAGAAACAATTTGTGGCGAGATGACAAACTGTGATGGTTTCAAATATGTCCACAAATTCATCGACTCTCCTCCCTTCAAAAGATGGAGACTAATCCTTTCCTCTTGACTAGGCTGACCTTAGTGACACAGCACACTTCTAACAAACATCATGTGCTGGAAGTGTCCATGTGTGACTGCCAAGGCCAGGTCATGAGACCTTGTAGATAGATCAGACTTCATTCTCTCTTGGATTGCTCACTCTGAGGGAAGTCAGCTCATATGGCCCAGGGCAAGGAGCTGAGATCTCCTGCCCAGTCAGCACCAACCTGCCAGCTCTGTGAGGGAGCCAAACCTGCAGATGATGCAGCACAGCTGACCAAAAACTCCTTAGAATCTGAGCCAGAACCACCCAGCTGAGCCACTCTCCAATTCTTGACCTACAAAAGCTGTGTAAGATACATGCTTATTGTTATATACAAAGAAGGGAGGAGATCACTAGTCTTGGAATGGGAACATCATTTAAAAAATATCACTGGACTGAGTTCTACCTAAACACATCTTGCACATATTTGGGAAAACTGAACCTAGTTCAGTGCTCATTCACAAGTACACCCCACAGAGGTACCCAAGCAACTCATCCAATGACTGTTCTCCCCAAATTCATGCACAATCCAACCAACATACCGTGACTGCTCTTATTCTAACAGTTGCCAAAAGACCTGAGAATCTCATTACCAAGCAAAGGAGGTGTGGAGGCAAGCCCACAAGTTGTCATCACTTGTCAAAGATGTCAGTGAACGGGCAGCGTTGCCATTCCTTTGGTGCAGAAATGGTGTAAAAGCCGTGTTCATTCGCTGGGCACGCTGTGGGCATCCAAACTGCTCTGCTTCAAATACCTGAAATGCAAAGGGAAGGGGTAACCTTTTAACAAAACAAAACCAGTTGAGCAGCCCAGCTCATTCACAGCCAACTTCATCAATGCTACTCCTGAAGACTGTCCAACTCTGCTCCCTTGATGCAAAGTACAGAAAATGCCCAGTCTCATAATTCTAGACAGAATGGTCTGCTTCCCTAACTAGATTAGAAGCCACCTGAGAAGCGGAATTGGTTAAGGATTTCTCTTATACCCTCTCCTACAGCCAACTCATTAGGCACTTGACAGGTATTCAGGTAACATATGTGCTCGAGGTGGTCATTACTGATATTCTTCAAGTATTTCTAGTCCTCTCCCTTCCAGGGACATAGAGGCATTCACTACCCAGAGCCTGTGGGTGGGACATGTGACCAGTACCCTTTATGCCCTCTAGCAGGAAAACAAGCAACATTCAATATGGCTACTGCTCCATCTGCCAAGATGCCTACAATAAGCTGATCCCTCACTTCCCTGCAATGGACACAGAACATGAACAAGAAAAAAATTGTGGTTTTAAGCCACAGAGGTTTGAGGGCTGTTTGTTGACAGAGTATAACCTGGCCTATCCTGAGAGATGCAATGCCAAAGCTGGAGGTCTATGTTAGGTGGTGGGTCTGTAACACAATTAATGACCGGGCTTTTGAAATGATGGTCAAAGGAGGCAAAGACACCAGGGATAAAACCAGGGCATCTGACTACAGTAAAGAAGCCAGAGCTGAATGATAATCAGCACGAGAGACTCAGGAGAGACCAGCAAAGCAAGCAGGACTGACTGACTGCAAGGCTTATGGCCACAACCCCGACTCTGAAGCCAGGAGACTACAATTTAGACAGAGCAGTGGCCACAGGACCATGTGCTCTTACCCTCTTTCAGTGCACATCTCCTCTCCCACCACCACCCACTCCCCCTTTATCTGGGGTCACCTTGAGTGCCTTGCCCTGGAGTTCATCGATGATCCCTCGGATCTTCCCAAGCAGAAAGGGCCAGGAGTTGATGAGGTAAATCCGGTCCATCATGATGGCAATGATGCTGTACCAGCGCTGAAAGCCCCTGGCCAGGCTGTCTTTGATGAAGAAGGTGTGGCTAAACACAAACCCATGCTGCTCATCCCCAAAGAAGATAGGGCCTTCACGGCCAGGACAGACCTGGGACAAAACAACAACCACAACAAGACATAGTCCTCTCCTTGCTTCAGTAATATAAAATCAAATCCTCCTGTTCAGGTTTTTTTTTTCTGCCATTAATTATAGGGAGAGTGGGAAGGGTAGGGATGAGAAAGGAAAACTTCACTTTCATCTGCTCCTGGGGTCAAACTTTCTAAAGATAACGTTATTAAGGAATACAAGAACCAGTAAAGTAGGTTCATTACTTTTTCTACCTTGAGCCATAAGTAATTCTTGTACAAATATTAACTCTCTCTGACTCAAATTTGCCAACATCACTCACCCAGAATATAACAGAGAGCTGGCAGGTCAAAACAGCCAAGGCAGCATCCATGTAATAAAATCTGCATACTTTATTTGTAGGAGAGAACTCAGCGCTCTCTCATGACACAGTCACTATTCCTTTACACACAATTCTATCACATATGATCATCTGCCTGCTAGCAGATTAGTAGCAGGAATAAAAAGGG